TCTAGCAAATATTTCTACGTTTGAGTAGATTGAAAATCCCCATTGAGTCATATGAAAAAGAGAAGACATTCAGCGAAGAGACTCTTTTCGGCGAATTCATTCACATAACTGTACAATCGCATTTATATATAAATATTTGTGTGTGTGTGTGTGTACATGAGGTTTGTCAAGTTTAGATAATTGATTAGTTAATACAAGAATGATGTAGTATAGAGACAAAGTTAATCAGACAGCAACTAAAGTAAGATTGAGTTAGTAAGCTAGATGACGTAATATAATTGACTAAAATGTTACAACTTAGGTCAGGATAGCAACAGAGGTAATTACAGGTAGAGATTAAGTAGAAGTGAAATTGAGTGAATAAGTTGGATGACGTAACATGAATGACTAGAAACTGAGCGTTGTTCAAGTCAGTAACAGTGGTAGTGAGGTGTAGAAATTGAATCGGGCGGGGGTAGAGAACAAGAAAGTTGAAAATGTAGAGTGTTACAATTGAGAAGACAAAATAATACTAATGAAGAGACAGAAGAAAAGATTAGGTAGAATTTACATGTCGGCTAATAAGATAGATTACGTCCATTGCAAGTGTAGTGATTGAACGAACTTCTTCTGTATGCAGAGTTCAGGACTTAGCAAGTGAATCGCCACTGCTTCTGCAGTTTGAAGAAGTCTGATTCGTACACCTTTAGGGAGACTACTTCTTACTCTGTAGACGACTTTGAAGTTTGTTTGAGGTGTAGCTTGTTGTCCGGATTCTATCAGATGTTCTAAGATGGAACTGCGGGGGCATCGATTTTCTCCTTTGTGAAACCATGTTGGTAAGTGCTTGGTGATACGTTTGGAAAGCGAGCGCTGGGTACGGCCGACATACCTGGCTCCACACGAGCAGGTGAATTGATAAATGCACATTGATGAGGCCAGCAGCGGTAGCTTATCCTTCACGTTCACATGAATCATAGGTTTTGTGGAGAAGGTTAGTCGTAGTTCAGCTGCGAAGAAGGTCTTCTTAAGTGAGCGCGACAGTCGATTTTTTTAGTGTTTCCGCAGATAAATCTCCATTGAATTGAAGGTTCATGTAGAGTAGTTTTTTCTTGATGCTAAGTATGGGCGGCTTTTCTGGTCTAGGGTTCATAGATTTTGCAATAAATCTTTCTGGATAGCAATTCTCGACGAGGATTCTCTTGAGGTTGTCCAGTTCATCTTCTATGGTGTCCGGGGTGCAAATTCTGCGAACTCTGTAGCTGAGTGAACGGATCAGGTTTCGTTTGGTGTATAGTGGTACCCAACTGTGAAAGTTAGTAAGCTGTTCGTTCCACGTCGATTTTCTGTGGATAGATCTTTTCAGTGTTCCGTCCTGTTCTCTTCTTGTTAGTTGGACGTCAAGAAAGGATATTGTGGAGTTGGACTCTTTCTCCATCGTGAACTGAATTGCAGGGTGGCAGTTGTTAAACGACTTCAGGATGTCGTCTAGATTTTCTTCGTTGTTGACGATAATGAAGGTGTCGTCGACGTATCTTGTATCTTGTATCATGTACACACGCACACAAATATTTATATATAAATGTGATTGTACAGCTATGTGAATGAATTCGCCGAAAAGAGTCTCTTCGCTGAATGTCTTCTCTTTTTCAAATATTTCTACACCTTAAATGATTCATTAATTCTCTTGATTAATTATTACCACAATGACATGCTGGTGTTGACAAATTATTATTAACAAATTTGTTTTTACGAGTTTGACCACGGATTGATATCAGTTAGAGAACCATTGAAAACTAAGGAGTACTAGACAGCTGTTTCATCCTAGTTCGGGAGTCATCGGCAGTACGCACCCACCACCAGGGTTCGAACCCACGACATTGCGCTTACAAGGCAAGCTCGTATACCATTCAGCCACTGTGATCCTATTCAATGACTAACTGATGAATTCTAAATTCTACCTATTCGTGATTCAGCGTGACCACCAACCAATATTATCGGTGGGATGGAGTTTCCTGGAGTTATGGCGAGAAGTTGTGACCAGTGAGATGCATCCAGTCCAGTGTGAGGATGGATTTCCCACCAATGACACTGAATCGTATACAAGCTTGCCTTGTAAGCGGGAGGTCGTGGGTTCGAACCCTGGTAGGTGTGTACTGCCAATAACTCCCGAACTAGGATGAAACAGCTGTCTAGTACTGCTTAGTTTCCAATGGTTCTCTAACTGATATCCATCCGTGGTCTTACTCGTAAAGACAAATCGAATCCTTACGAACCAACTCTTGAAAGTTAACAAATTTACCACTACCACTAGAGTGGAAAATTTCTGTATTGTATCAAAATATATGATAATCCAATGGAAAGTAATTATTTCTTCCCTCAATCACTTAGTCTTCTGATTTTATAAATGCTAAAATTTTGCTATAATAGCATGAATGAGATGAGACGGATCTACAAAGGTGATTGGTGGATAGATTAAAATACTTCGATGAATATTGTGAGGTGAATATGTTTTTAACCTTGTCTTCTGTAAATGTATAAATTCTTTTATTTTACTCAGAGACACTGGAAATCCTTGATATTAGATAGTTAGAGGCAATAGCCAGGAAGCCTTGAATCTAGGTTTCGTGATAGCTGGCACTCGTCAGCAAAGCGTATATGCCGATTGTCTCCAACCATCTAGTATCAACAATTCAGAGTGCACCGTAATGGCGAGCTACCTAGAATGGTGGTCATATTACAAATTTGACTGATAGAATTCAGTCTACACCAAAGATAGGCCTAGAAACATTGCACTAGTTACTTAATAGTGTCCAAACAAAGTGCTGAAAATCCTTACTGAGAGTTATGCATCACTAATGTAAACAATAATATCCACTAACAATTAGGAGAATGCATAATGAAATCAGAACTACATGATTTATGATGGTCAGTCAAAATACCTGAGTATTGCTTCGCCTGAATAAGTAATTAATCTGATGCAGATCAAAGGTGAATTAAAACTGAAATGCAATCAGCAAAATGGACTTTAATTATTGAGTAGTTTTTGTCGTCTAAATGATAAAAGATTCTCATACTTATCCATACTACTCAAATAGAATCTAAACCATTCGTACGTCATATCAATATATTATTTATTGTTGGAATGAGTCATTACGAATGTGGTTAATCTTGACTTCTACCATGGCTAATATTATTAAGCCGTTAAACATGCGTTTATGGCATGTTTTGTATTCGACTGGATGAGTCATCGTTCAAATTTTTGTTATAAATGTTTAGAAGGCAATTTTTCATCTACAATCCTTCTCTGGGTTTTTTTTGGCTAGTTTACTGTTTCTTGAGGAATCTAAATGCTAATTGTTACGCATAGTTCAATTCCCCCAAGAAATATCCAGTATAGCTGGTCATATTTCGAAACTGCCCACTGATGCGATCAGAACTAAGTTGGTCAACTTTCTATAGATTGTCAACATAATATGTCTCTTTTGTTCATGATAAATCATAAACAATATCTAGGAGTTGAAGTAATTTGGTGGATGGTGACTTGCAGTGGAATCTAAGATGCACATTTCGTCCTATTTGGGACTTGTCAGCTGGATGTACCTACATTCACCTGTGAGTGATGGTCATCCCACTGAGGCAAGAATACAGTACCCGGTGCAACAGGTATCAGTAATTATTTAATTCATCCAGACGACGAGTCCCAGATGGGACGAAACGTGCTACCTGCATTCCACCACTAGTCACCATCCACCAATTTACTTCAAGTTAAATAATCAGATATCGTCAAAGTGTCTGCACAAGGAACCGATATGTCAACGTGGGGCCGAGCACTTTGGTTCACTTAATCAACAGGAAAGTCTAGATTGAATTAAATATCTAGGAGTGATGTTTCGGGAAGTGCAGTATTATAAAGATGACTGAAACATTCATCCTCTTATTTTGCTGTTTATTGAAGATAAAGCTCACTTCCTGTTTGAAGGAAAAGTGTAGTCCTCAGTTGAGTAATTTTTTTCGAACAGTCTTATAAGTACACCTTACTATTATGTAGTTTGAACGTAGTAGACGAATAATTCTCATACTACAGTTTCTCACAGAATCAAAACAACTTTCTAATTTATGAGTCATATATAATCCACGCCTAGGTTAGAAAAGCTAAAATACATGAGATCTTTTTTTAAAAAAACGCCGGTTCACTTAGTCACTTGATTTCAGGTGAGATAAACTAACCTGACGTCTAACAGTGGTTCAGCCGTAGGACGCTGGTCGACCATGCACGTGGTCCAGGGTTCGACTCCCAGCCGGCGCACACCTTTACCTCCCTTAGCCGGCTACAACCCGGACAAGGTGGGAAGGTTGGGCGTAAAGCTAGCAACCCCACCCCATAAAAACACCACTGCTACTGAAACTTCAAAGCTAAAGCTTAAAGCTCTATGTTCCAATGGGAACGTAAAGGAATAAAAAAAACCTGATATAAGAATGATATTGAACTGAATAGTTAATTCAATGAATAAATTCCTTCGAAAACATACAGTGATTCGGTGTATATATTACACAAGAGAATACAGATACTATTTACTGTTAGTATTAGACATGCTGATAGGTCATTATTGATATAAGTATAAAACTTGGGCACTGTGGTAGAGTATAATTCCATAATGGATAAGATTTTATTTTGATAAATCACATAGTGTAGTACAGTTATATTAACTGATAGGTCATGTAAAAGACAGTATCATGAGTGAACTATAATTTGGACGTCTTTATTTTAGAGTATTAGGATAACCTAGTTATGTGTCGTAGGCGTTATTCTTATACTACAAAGTCACATGGATAGGAGTGAGAGTAGTACATAAAAAGCTATCACATGTACTACCAACCATACATTTTGAGAAGGCCCTTATTTATAAACAAGTATTGTAACAATAGAAGGTAGGACACGGAAGCCAAGGTATATTTTTCATTAATCAAACTGCCGTTTATATATATATATATATATATATATATATATATATATACTGTTTATATTTGTTAACCAATCACTGAGCTTATGATTTTGGTTTACATTAAACGACATGAAACAGAATGTTCAAATAGATACATCGTATTATGTTGCTTATGCCGTCTTGAACTGTGGGGATATGTGAGAATCATATTCCGTTGGAACACATTGTCTGTATCACACCACCACAGTGTAACTGAATTCATGTAGCTTATTAAATGTGTAGCTGTATGAACACGGAGAAATCAGGACAACAAATTCATCCACATTATAACGGATTGATTCAACTCTTTAAGTAAGCTGAAAACAAATATCCGCCTTTAATTATTATTACTTTTGAATTAACCACCTCTGAAATATTGATGATCTGTGCCACTCGTTACACATTTGGATGAAATCTAAGTGGGAAATAATCAATACTTTGGCAGAATGACTTTGCAGTTAAGCAGAAAATATTCAAACAGAAAAGAAGTGAATGTGATGGTAAAAGAAGGTGAAACAGGTTAAGTTCTGAAACCGATGGAAGTAAATTGTAATTATTCCAGCCGACAACCTAAAAATTTTTGGATTAGTGGTTATAACATTAACTTGTTATCACTCTAACATTGATTTACTTAGTACGATCTTACTTTTAATTGGACACAAAAGGGCAACTAATGTCATGTGTCTAGTTCTTTGCTTGGTACAGACTGAATTCTATTAGTCAAGTTTGCAATGTGGCCATCATGACAGGTGACTCGTCATCACGGCTCACTCTGAATTGTTCTTAGATATTTGACTACAGTACTGCGTGATATGGGTTCGAATCTCAGAGAGGCTGCAGATAAGCCTTACTGACGAGTGTCAAAAAGCACGAAACCTGGATCCAAGACTTTCGGCTGACTGTGTCCAACCATTTAACAAGGAGTAAGATATCAATTGGATATCTCTTACTACAAACTGAGTTAAGAATCTACTGAAACTTCCGATCCTTTCTCATTGTTCGCTTCTTTAGTACTTTTGTGATATCTAAATTCTGATTATTTGGAAGGTTTTATGATGCATTATCTGAAGTCTCATTATCATGAATAATAAAAAAAAACTCATTCGCAGATACATTGAGTGTTGGTCTCTAATCCCTCATTGTCTTCTGTCAACCTCAACGACAATACTTGTAGACGAAAGAGACTTGTGCAAACTTTCGCCCTTCCATGATCTTAATCTGTCAATATTTTAAAAGCACACTTCTAGTTCTCTTGTTCTACCCAATTCTTAAATAATATTTAATTTTCCTATTTCCATACTGTTTTTGATAATCATTCATTCAACAGATTTCTTCGTTATACTGCACAACCCCTTTTTTTTCCTTCACGTTCCCCAGTGGAACATGGGGCTTCAAGCTAGTGGCTTGAAGTTTCTGTAGCAGTGTTTATTTTACAGGATGGGCACAACCCCTTACTCAAAACGATTTACTATTAATAAGTTCTCGTTTTATCATCATTTGAAAACAATTTGGTTTCCTAGATTATTTATTTTACCCGTTAGTATATGCCTTAGACGAAGAATTATTGAGTACATTCTTGGGAAAGACGACTTAAGTCAAATAGCATTAAGGAGTGAGATGACCAGAATTGTTTTGATCAATAGCAATAAGCTGTCTACAGTAGATAATATTGGATTACTGGAGTTTAGTACTTTAAAGAGACATTTAAACAAATTATTGGCTTTGAGAGCAAGGAACCACGTGGAGACCAGCAAGGAACTGGTGAAAATTTACGAATTATGTAGTGAATTATACGTCTAAATATTGTTAGATAGTATATTGTTAGTAGGACTTTTCGAAAAAGCTACTTGTTGTATCATCTGCTCGACAAAGTTTCGTCCGTGAAACTCACAAACAAAAACAAAGTGGTAAATAAATACTTCATATTCTTTCCTAAGTTTATATGTGTATTAATTTCAGTAAAAAGTCTGGGCGTTGTAGAATGGATCAAATAAATTATAATTATATTTCAATAGTTTCCACATGATGATAAATTTTGTTGTCTTGGCAATATTTCGAGGAGAATTACCAAAACAAAAAAACTTATCATTGTGTGGAAACTATTGAAATATAACCATAACCTATTTTACATGCAAAATTGAGAATGGCCTTAAGTATTCATCAACCAGTCAGATCTGACTAGGGAATAGCACAAGAATGTGGATAATTTGATGTTATGATTACTACAGACTGATTTGGCAGCCAGCTGAAATTAGTCTGACCTTATAGAAAACAGAGAGAATTCTAGAAAAAAATAGACCGTAGATAGTCCAATGAAAATCCAACAATATCGGTTGTTGACCAATAGGATGTAAGTTATATTAGCCAATAGGATTTTTCGGACCGACATTAGTAACCTATATAAATCGAGGAGGCAGCCATATTGACGTTTTCATTTTAAATTCCAGTCGGCTTCCGTTCGTTGCTGCTCTATAGAAAATGGTAAGTTGCTGGTATACAACTTGTAATATGTGTATTGTAGCGTGAATGCATCAGTGTACATGTCGGCCAGGCCGGAGTTCAGATGGGAAATGCTTGCTGGGAGTTGTACTGCTTAGAACATGGTATCCAACCTGATGGACAAATGCCAAGTGATAAGACTATCGGTGGAGGAGATGACTCGTTTAACACATTCTTCAGTGAAACTGGGGCTGGGAAACATGTTCCACGAGCAGTGTTTGTAGATTTGGAGCCAACTGTTGTAGATGAAGTGCGAACTGGTACTTACCGCCAACTATTCCATCCTGAACAACTGATAACTGGAAAGGAAGATGCTGCCAATAACTATGCAAGAGGTCATTACACCATTGGGAAAGAAATAGTAGACTTGGTTCTGGATCGCATCCGAAAATTATCTGACCAATGCACAGGGTTGCAAGGTTTCCTCATATTTCATTCATTTGGTGGAGGCACTGGATCTGGGTTCACGTCTCTACTGATGGAGCGTCTGAGTGTTGATTACGGCAAGAAGTCCAAGTTAGAATTCGCAGTGTATCCAGCACCTCAAATCGCCACTGCCGTAGTGGAGCCATATAATTCAATTTTGACAACACACACCACTCTAGAACATTCAGACTGCGCATTTATGGTGGACAACGAAGCTATATATGATATTTGCAGGTAGGTTTTTGTTAGTGGTAATACTAATTTCTTTAGACGTAACTTAGATATCGAACGTCCTACTTACACAAACCTCAACCGGTTGATTGGTCAAATTGTGAGCTCCATCACGGCATCTCTGCGTTTCGACGGTGCCCTTAATGTGGATTTGACGGAGTTCCAGACAAACTTGGTTCCTTATCCACGTATCCATTTCCCCCTGGCCACCTATGCACCCGTCATTTCGGCAGAGAAGGCGTACCACGAGCAACTGAGCGTTGCAGAGATCACTAATGCTTGTTTCGAGCCGGCCAATCAAATGGTAAAGTGCGACCCTCGTCATGGGAAATACATGGCGTGCTGTATGCTGTATCGTGGTGACGTGGTTCCTAAGGACGTCAATGCAGCCATTGCTACCATCAAGACGAAGCGTACCATTCAGTTCGTGGATTGGTGTCCCACTGGTTTCAAGGTTGGCATCAACTACCAGCCCCCAACTGTCGTTCCAGGTGGTGACTTGGCTAAGGTACAGCGTGCTGTCTGCATGTTAAGCAACACAACCGCGATCGCTGAAGCTTGGGCTCGTCTGGATCATAAATTCGATCTGATGTATGCTAAGCGTGCATTTGTTCATTGGTACGTCGGAGAAGGTATGGAAGAAGGCGAGTTCTCTGAGGCTCGTGAGGACTTGGCTGCGTTGGAGAAAGATTATGAGGAAGTTGGAGTTGACAGTGTTGATGGGGAAGGTGAGGGTGAAGGAGAGGAGTACTAAAGTTTTACACCATTTAATGTTGTTTCCTGTTACCTGTTCGTAATACATTTTACATGTTAAAGTTGTTTTCATTGTAATTAAGATGTCAGGTTCTGCTTTCCGTAGTCGTGGGTATGTTCTAATTGGGTGTGTCAAGTGATTAACGTTATCTCACTTGGTTGGCGTACACGGTGTTTGCACACTTAGTCCATGCGCGTCCACATCCTATGCCTGTGATATATTGCGTTGAACTCATTGATCGTTGTAGCTGTTCGAGTGGACCTGTTATTATTTCCGCAATGTAACCTTAAGTTATTTGGGGTCTATTCGCTTACCACTGGACTGGCTCCGCACGTTCTTGTCATGATATGTGGTACCTGACTCCGTTGGACTGTAAGGTGGTAGGTTTCCTCAGAAGCCATCGTACGCTGGTACAATCGTTGTTGGTTATGTCGATGAGGTAACGAGTCACCCGTTTTTTGAGTGGTAAGTGCACTACGTTAGCTGATGAACGAACTCAGTTTAGGACAGCGTAACCGTTTTACTGTCTGGGGGGTCCTACCTGTCGTTTTAACTTCTGGCGGTGGACAAAATGCTTAAGTCGGGTGCTAACATTCGCTTCGTGAGAGATTCTATTAGGATTATTGAAGCAACAACTATCCACTAAGATAGCCTAGGTCGAATAATGGGTACCTTATCTCCTATCCTGTATATTACTGTGGGTTGAGGCGTCTGGTTTCCCTAGTTGGTGTACAACTAGCACTACTCTGTGCACGTACCTCAGTGGATGGTCATCGTTTTTAACGACAGCAGCATGTACGTTTCCATCCTTATAATATCTAGACTAAGTTTTCTCTCAGGATTAACATTTATTAGTCGTCTTTTAGTCTGTTTAATACACTCGGGTTAACTTTTCATGTTGTTGTGCTAACAGTTAAGGAAAAGGCTTAGAACGCCTTGGCCGGGATTAAGAGGATTTCAGCGGTTAGTCTTAGGTTGTAGTTATATCGCCCTCTAAAAGCAGTCTGTTGTTATCTGTACTCCTTAATAAGTTGCAAGTGTGTGCTTCAAATTATTCATATAAGTATAAAACTTCGGTACTGTGGTGGAGTGTAACTCCATTATAGATAAGATTTTATTTTGATAGGTCACACAATGTTATACAGTAATATTAACTTAGGGCGTTTCGAGCACGAACTATTGCTCATAATCATATCATGTTATTCACACAACTCCGTACTTCATTTATATGCATTGGTGGAATTGATTAGATATTTGAATAATTATGAGCAGTAGTTTGTGCTCGAAACGTCATCAGTTAATATTACTGCATAACACTGATCTATCAAAATAAAGTAAAATGGTGTATGCTTCAAAGCCAACGACTAGGCGTTACGTTCCTGAGAGCGAAGGTGTCTTATGCATACATCGTATCGTGTCGTATGCGCACATCCACCACTCAATGGCTCTGTCAAATCAATACATTTAGTGATGATAAATGTATAACATTCTCTACTAACTAGTTCAATTTCTGTAAATTTATTTGTTCGTATAAATACCATCAAGCAACGAAGTTACTTACTCCGTAACGTGCTTTCTCGCTCTCCATAGAAATTATTATTTCCTTGTGTCCCGAGTAATTTTTAGCTAGCTGTCCGACTACCCATTAGCTCTCATCTCCTCACATAGTCTCCTTCATGTCACCATCAGACGCCCAACTCGTCACACTTCCCATTCAGGTGCGATTTAGTGAACTAACCACTGATGTCACTCAGCGGTCTCTTAGGTGTGTCAAGTCCGTTTCCTCTCACTTCACCACATATACTGGGGTATAGCATGTTGGTTGGTCCGTTAACAGAGTTCCTTGTCAGTGTTGCAGATTCGAATCTCTTACCATATGCTAAGTTCAGCAAATTCTAACACAAGTTTTTAATCAATGAAGATCTATCTTGCTTTCCTGGTCCTGCCTTTGCACCGGTACCCCTGTCACCCGTCGTTGAAGCGACACCTAGATTAGTCAAAGAGGCGGCTCCCTTTAGATTCCTCCCGTCGACTGTGGTCGGTTGACTGTTGTTTGTACAAGGGTGTGTTCAGCACTTCTGCCTTCTCTATGTTAACTTGAAGTCCTGTCTTCGCTGCCAGCATCTTTTGCCAACTTGTTGCTTTTCGTCTGAAGATTTTCAGGTTAAGCATAAAGCGCCCGCAAAATCCAAATCTTCGACAATCTTTTTGTCAGTCCAACGAATGCCTGTTTTCTGGTACGCTAACGTCCTATTTCATGATCTAGTCGACCACAACCAGGAGCAGTCATGTTAATTGGTAACCCTATCATACTTATGTCTTCTCTTCAAAGGCTTCACCGAGTTTTCCTTTATGAATCACCTGATACGTGGTACTGTCATACAGTTACCGAATGCGATTGATATAGGTTTGTGGCACTGCAATCCTTAGTATTGAAGCAGTTTCCGAATTATTTCACGGTCAGTGCTGTTGAAGGCCTTTCCAAAGCCGAAGAAGTCGTGGTAGGGATTCAACTACCATTCCATACTCTGTTCGGTGATGGTGTATAGGTAGCGTTGCAGTTTGATCTGGACATGACTTGCTCTTCCTGAATCCAGCTTGTTCCGAGAGGAACTTAGCATCCACAGCATCTTTTAATCTCTCCAGGACAACACGACTTAAAATTTTGCTTGGAGTGGACAAGAATATGATTCTGCAACAGTTCTTGCAAAAGCTTGAGACACCCCACGCTGGTAATATGACAAGGTAGCCCTTCTTCAAATTCTTAAGTAACATTCCTTCCTTTCTTCCAAACCTTCTCCAATAGTGGCCTGAGCGTATATTCCGAGGTCTCTGGATCCTTTTTCAGTGCTGTCCTCCCCTTTTTCTTTCCCGGTTAATAGTAGCCTTAAGATATTCAAGACTTTTGCTTTGTTGGAGAATTGGTGTAAACTGCCAGGTGTTTGGTTGTTGTTGGTATTTCTGAATGAGTTGCAGGTGATGGTTGGTTCAAGAGTTTTTTAAGTTATCAGTCCACCGCTTGACTTGCATCTCCTCTTTGGTGATTAGGTTCTCTTTACTTGGTTTCATCTTCGTTGACCTCTTCCCTGACAGCGACCTGGTTATGTAGTATGGTAATCTGAGAACTTTTTTTTTACATGGAATCTGTTCTACTTCAGTCGGCAGTGTGTTGTAAAATTGTCTTTTGTCTTTCCCAGAATTGTTTTTCATTTCTCTATTCATTGTATCATAGTCTGAACTCAACTTTTCTTTCCGTCGTTCATCTTTGCGCTAGTTCATCTTCTGTTTCACCATCTCTCTGTTAGCTTCTACGTACCCACAGAGAGCCATTATTTGTCTCTCTTCTTTCTTCCATTAGCAACACTTTCAGGGTACTAAACCTGTTTCCTCCGTGATGCTATGTAGTATCTCCGACTGTGCTCTGTTGGCTATAGTGGATATGTCATTCGTAGTTTCACCCGTCAGTTTCTGGGTGTTGAATTTTAATCGTATTATATCTTCAGCTTCTTTGAAGGCTTTCAACTTGACTTTGAAGGATTCTGGCACTTGGTAATGGTCTGGACCTCCATCTGCTCGTTTTCTCGATATTTTGATTAGCGGGCTATCTCTCTACTTTCTTGAGATTGAGATAAAATTTATCTGGGTTTTGATTTGTCTATCCAGTGAAACCGATGTTGTTTTGTGTATATTCTTGTGCTTGTACACGATGCCCCCAATCACCAAATCATTGAAGGGTCAGAAGTCTGAGAAGAGTTTTTTGTTCTCATTCATTTCGTCCAGAGCTTCCCGATATGTGATGAGTTCTCTTCCTGTATTGTCACTTCCTAGCTTGGTATTCATATCACCCGTTAGGATTTTGATATCACCATTCGAGATCTTATCCATTACCGTTGGCAGTTGTTTGTAAAAGTTTCCCCTTTTTTCTTGTTCTGTGTGGGTAGGTGCGTAACCTTGGTTAATTGTAAAATCACTGTAGACGTCTTCTCCAGGTTATTGTTAGATCATTTACGGTGGTAATAGTAGTATAAATTTATTACTACATTTTAATAGTTGTTCACAAACAGTCATGATTTTGTGTTAAACCAACCACTGAAGTACACACTATGGTGAGCAATATGGAAGTTAGGCGTAGAGCTAGGTAAGAACGGCAGGTCGATTGATGAGGTTGTGAAGCTACATTGATTGAAATGGATAGGATACGTGTTGCGCATGTCAAGCCACCGCTTTCCTCGACCAGTAATGTTAGCTGACGTATCATTAAGGTGGAAAAGAACTAAGGTTGACCAAACTAAAGCAGGACATAAATTCATGAGATCTTTGACTGTTATTTCGAGTCACATAGCGATGTTTAGACTGCCTGGTTGGGTTCCTCAATATTCTAATAACCAAGCCTTGGAGACGATTGGTGATATAACTGAAGATAGTTGCCAGTAGCACAGATGCATCCACTGTTTGTGATTTCTTATATTCATCAAACTGTAATGTTTTCCACGTCACTCTTCTTTTACTCACATTCCAGCTCATTGTAGTTCTTTTGAATTTCATTTTCCTCTACTTTTGTGTACCACATGGAGTGTGGCAACTTAAACTGCTGCACTTCTGTGCCTAGTTCTATGATTAAAACCTCAGTCAATTATAATAAATTGATCTATTCCACGATAGATAAACTTTACTTGGTGATCCCAATTTTTAGTTTATTCCTTTAACTTCGTTCGACACAGATATGAATTAGTGAGGAAGCGAACGAAGAAGAAATCAGTTTTATTCTTGTTTATGTGGTTTTACCAACTGCTGACCACATCACTTAAAAGTACTGCTCCTCACAGATCCAGTACACTTTTTAACGGCTTGATACCAACAAATGAAAACTGAGAGTTCACTTAGCTGCATTTATGCCCCCCAAAGCACTGAAAACGGACCTAAAGACTACGGCAGATATACTGACGCTATTACTGCAAAACGTTTGGAAGGCAAGAAAGGTGCCTACTGATTGGAAGAAAGGCTGACTACCTTGTCAAGCTGCCGAAGAATAGCGAATTAGGTTTCTGCAAAAACTGG